TCTGCTGGAGGCTGCAACATCAGCTGATGCAGCATGCCCTTCATGAACCTGCGCATGCTGGGCTTCTGATGTTGCAAAAACTGTTTGTGGATTACGGTTTGCGGATTAGGGTTTGCAAATTCATTTTTGCGGCTTTGCTGTCGGATTAGGGTTCGAGGGTTTGCGGATTAGGGTTTGCGAACTACGGTTTGCAGATTAGTGGGTGTTGGGCATGAGGGTTTGCCGATTAGGGTTTGGCAGATGGAGTTTGCACCGAAGTAGGACCCTAAAAACAACCATTTGCTCTGCACCATTTGCACCCTAACCTTGCATGTAATGAGAAGCGGATACTCTGACTGGCTCATACCTTTACAGATGTGGTTCCAGCCTTGCATAGACGTAGCAGAAGAGCCGCAAGGCAAACACGACAATGTTGGCCTTGTTCATGTATGCGAACAGGACCTGCAACGCAGGACAGCTGTCACAGTTACAAGGATGGCGACGTAAACCTTGCCTGCACAATGATGCCTGTGAGGGCAACATTGGAGAACCATGCGTACAAGCGGGGCTTGTGCTTGTTCGCCGCAGAGAAGCCCATACCTTAGCCGGGACTTCCGGTCGACAGGAAGGGCAGCTGGCATTTCACACCTCCTTTGCAATAATTAGAATAAGGTTTAAGGGTACATTATACTATACTATAACCATAGCAAGGAACCCCCACAATAGTAAGGGTATTATTTAAGGCCCCTATATTGTATTACTTGTCCATAGACCCTTTAAGCCGGTCGTAGCGAAAAGCAGTCAACCGCGACTCATCAGTTGCACGAACCGCATGTCCGAGACGCAACAACTTCTGCCGCGAACCATTGGCTCCAATATAGGGGCGCAATACTAACTAGAATAGGGTTTTGGGGCCCATTATGCTATAATTGGACTGAGGAACCCAAACTTGTATAGGTAATTATTGAGGTCCCTATGTTGTGGTCCAAGTAACTTCACTTCATGAGACCTAGGAAGCCTGCATTTCCGAATCTTACGAGTCATCGGCAAGGGCTACAGGGGAGTTTCCGGAAATTAGGGGTACCTTATTGTGGGCCAACTCCCACATACCTGCGACTTCTAAGCCCCGGAATGCAGATGAGTTGCAGAAGTAGAGCTTCAAGTATGCCAGCTGGAAGCCAAGCTGTGCCCAGAACCTTCCGTGCCAATGGCCGATCCCAGGTGACACTGGGTAATGGGTAGCTTGTAGTTACCCTAAACCCGAAACCCTAAACTTTTAGGGTTCAGGACCTTATGGGTAGTTGTCAAAATTATGGCCCCTTTTGGGGTACCTTGAATATTAGGTGCCGCATTGTAGGGACCCCAAAAAGGGACCATAATTTTGACAACCACCCAAATTAAGGGGTGTGATCTCAGGGCTCGCAAGAGTCCTTGCAGGTCTGAGGCAGTGGCAACGTCCACAGCGTCTGCAACGGCAGCGCCTTCTGGAAAGAACCCATGCTTCATAACTCATACTGTAGGGGCCTTAATACTTAAAATAGATAATTGGGCTCCTTATTATTACAGTTATAACAAAAATATACCCTGACACCCTATCCTAACTATCAAGGCCCTACATTACATGCTTTTCGCAAATTCAAGGACAACATGCCCTGCTCTAGAACATACATGCATGAATCGTGCGCGATCTCCGCAACATCCAGTACGAGGCAGACTGTCAGTGACGAAAGCGCTGCAGGCCAAGCTGGACGCCAACCGGCAACAGGCGACTCAAAGACAGACTTGCTGACGTGTGGGGCTCGAGGATTTGGTGACTTGTTGCGGGCGAGAGCATCCTGAGTCGTGAAATAAAGGCCAACTGCGCATCATGAAAGAGTTGGTAGTTTCAGATCGGGTAATACTTGCACGGGCGTGCGGCGCCGCCCACTAGCTTGCAGGTGCCTGGTATGCTGAGGCCACCTCCTGGACAGAGTGCCTGGGCCAGGGGACACTCACCACTGACACTGCGGCCGCAGGACACGCTCACCACTTAACACTGCGACCGAGTTCAAAACCAACATGCCCGCAGTAGGGCCACGCGTAGTGAGTTGAAGCATCCATACTAGTACTGGTTACTACTGGTTACTTCTCGAACACACCGAGACACGGTATCCCGCCTCGAGCAATGTAGCATAAGGCCTAGGTACGCCGCCTCAAGGACAAGCTCCTGGGCCCGAGGTTGGCGAAATTTACGGAACGAGGTGATCACGGGCCTGGGCTTCATTCGAGAAATGCGAAGTAGTACAGACTTCGCTTTGATAGACGAAACCAGCTTCGGGGTTTGCAAAGGGCAGGTCGCTCTCTAATGTTCTTTCGCAGAACTCGAGTCCCCTGCCACTACTAGCAGCCCTGTGAAGAGCCGCTCGTGGTGCTGGAAGACCGCCGGAGACACGGTGCGGGCGCTGCGCGCGCCCAGTCCTGCTTTGAGGACGAAGGGCTGACAGAAAACTTGAGGGAAACACAGCTGTTGCGAGGCTTTGTGCTGATGAACGATCCTCGCACACTTCCTTGAATACACTTTGCATCCCCTGCCTCCAATAGGGTCCATCAGGTCACCGAAGACGTCAGGACTGGAGAACACGGAGAAACTGTTATGCAGGGGTCCCTCACGAAGTCCGGTGCTCGAACATGCGAAGTCGGCGGGGATAGTTCAAGCGGAGAATACACCCAACTCACCAAGCCCCATCCGAAACAGAAGCATAGCATGTGTAGGGGCGCGAATGCTGCTACGACTTTAGCTGTTGTTGTATTGCAGACTTTGTACTACGGCTACAAAGCCATTTCTACCGGTACTGTTGGTACAACTGAAACTTATGCTGGCATTGAGATGACGATCTCGTTGTGGATGCATCATGCCGTGAAGTCGAGGTCAGACCGTCCCAGAGAGCCCAATACCCCTTACTTAAGGAATATAGCTTAAATCATAATATGAAGCCCCGTATAATTTAAGCTGGGGTCAGCAGGCTGACGATGCTGAACCCAGGCGCACACAAAGAAAGACAGCCACAGGCGCCCTGCTCACACACACGCAGTCACACACATGGGTAGTTGTCAAAATTATGGACCCTTTTGTTTTGGGCTATCCTAAATAATAGGTGTCGTATATAATAGGGCACCAAAAAGGGACCATAATTTTGACAGCCACCCACATGCAAAGCTTAACATGCCATGCGTTGCTGGATTGAGCATTAGCTTATCAAAAGGTGACGCCGCGGACTCTTGTTTGTTCGTTACGGCATCCTCCTCCCTAGTCAGGTAAGATCAGATCAGAGCCAATGACACTGTTACAGTTACCATAGGCTTGAATTCTACAAATGAGGTGGCAGTGTCTTGCATCACAACCCTTCAAGTATTGAATCGCTTCCTTGTCATACTTGTTCATACCCTCTTTTCTGGATGAACAAAACAAAGACCTCTCTTCACATTGCGTTTTCCAGGAAGCGTGTTGCTCCTAGTGCTTGTGTAGGACACAAAAGCATCACAGCAGCAAGAGCTAGCCCTACTTCCGACGACAGCTGTTGGGCCCGGGTTTACTGAGCGGCGGGCCGTGGGCCGGCCCGAGGAGAACTCGGAGGGCTAGGCAGTCTCATGTTGGGCGGAAGCCCTGGCAAGAACAGGACAGCCAAAGCTTCTGCAATGAGGGTTCAGGGCTTAGGGTTTCAGGGGCTTTTGAGATTGGGAGCTTCGGGGTTCGCAGTTTATGATTTAGCGTTTGTGAGATAGGATCCACAGTCTACGGAGGTAAAGGACGGTACAGGGCTCAGGGGTTCAGTCAAGTCTTGGGCACTTTGGCCGTAGGGTCAGTAAAGATCGCTGTTCTGTGCTTCAGTGTGTCTGCTATCATCAAGTGCAGCTTTTAGCTAATGGCAATCTGCAGCCAGAGAGACGGGACGTCAGAGCCGTCAAGTACTTATGCGAACCGGACGACGGCGAGGGCTACAGCTCCCACGCGCTACCTACTGCTGCAGAAACCTGGCAGGAAACAGCACCCCGAGCATGCCGAAGTCCACGCATCAGCAAAAGGACTATGGCCCGCTTGGGACCTCTATGGACCTCTCAGGCTACGAAGCCCACAAACCTTTATTACTGTAGACACTGACGGCTCCTTAATTTTACTCTGCTGATTGATCCTCCCATCAGAATTCTCATGACCCGGTTCCCGTGCTGACCCTTCCTGGCCCTGGTATTGATTGTTCCCGAACAAAACGCCGGGCGCACCCAAACTCAATGTGCCTGCATGAAACGAAACTGCAGACCGCTTCGTCGGCTGTCGGTAGCTTCGGGGATGCAGAGCAACCCGCCGTCCAAAAATGCTCGTGGTGCCAAGTTGCTTATCCATGCAAATATACATTCTATATTGTACTTGAGAAATATGATCTCGTCTTCGATTCATCTACGTAACCGATTTATTAACAAAACTTAGAAAAACACTTTTAATAGGGATGCATACCATGCCTTTAAACCGCAGCTTTCTTCCAGTCATCTACTTTTCATTGCATGTGCCGGTGTACCAGGTGGAAACTGACAATGGTCAGTGCTTACGACTAACGCCGCGGCTTTCCTTGTCCAGTTGCGGCCGGTTCGTTGAATTGCAATCTCCGCTCTTACCAGTATATATCAGGTTCAGAGGCACTGGCACAGATTGGCTTGAAATGAGGCGAACGAGCACTCGTACAAATCACATGCATCCACAAGGACCAGCTGCGAAGTACAGGGACTGCTGGCAGCGTGCCTGTAGCAGTAGCGTAAATAACAATCTCAGTTTCATTCCTGGTTCATGCGACCACATACTAGATAGATTTGGTACCATGGCACCCGCACAAGCAAACTCAAGAGGTGTTCTATCTGTGAGAGTCTGCAACAATAAATTGTTGCCGCCATGTTGCCATCTGGATTCTCCAAATAGACCGCGAAGTAGGGTGCCAAATCCGAGTTGCCATCGCCTCCGACTATCGCGGAAAACTCCTCCCTTGTGACAGTTCGTGCTCAATGGCTTGGGGTTGACATTGGCATGGACCCTAAAAGGTCTAGAGTTCGTATGCGCGCCAGTCGGACCAGCAACTTCGGGACAAAACGCCCTCCCTCCGAATTGGCTTTCTCATCAGTTCCTCGCTACTTAGGATTTAGCCTGGGGCCCTTGTTCTCGCGTCTACTACTACTACTACCACCACTACTACTACTACTACTACTACTACTACTACTACTACTACTACTACTACTACTACACTAACCACCCCCTACCAGGCCCTACAAACTACACTTACTCCAGCCGGGCTGGGCAGTGGCAGCTTCTAGGCTCCCTAACTGCGACAGCTGCGTAAGCTGCGGAGGCTCATTTTCCTTAGCTGTCACAGCCGGTGAAGTTGCAGAGGCTCTTGCCCCAAAACTGCGACAGCAGCTGGAGTTGCAACCTCGACGGGGAAGAAACTGATAAACCCCAGGTGGTCGGATAGTACGAAAACGCTGTAAATACCGTGCAAAACCCAGGTGCTGCCAAGAAGGGTTTAACATTTCTAAAACCTGAAGCGCAACATCTTGTAAACATCAAAAACAAAGATGCAGCTGTACGTGGGAGGGGCGGGTCAACACGCCTAAAGCCCCGACCTCGGCGTAGGAGGGTTTGCTTTGAAGTGGTGTGTGGTGTGTGCGCGCGAAGGTGGAGATATTGCTCGGGGTGTCTGCGAAACAGTGTCGTGATCATCCCCGAAAAGGCTTCCCCCCCAACAATTTCGAGTTTTTGCGAACGCCCGCCGAAATCCCAAGGTCGAGTTCGCAAAGTCCAGTGGAGGTTTGGTGACTGTATAGGATGGTCCGACATCTCGAAACTACTGTGAATACCGAGCAAAACTTGTTGTTCTTTCTCTTCTTTATGTTCTTCTTTGTTCACCTCGTTCCTTTCATGCTTTCATTACATGACATAATAAAGGAACGAAGAAAGAAACACAAAGGATAAAGCACAGACATCACAAACTCGACACTTCGCTGCCCAAATACACCAAATCCTAGGCCAGGAACTCTTAATCCCTAATCCCTAGACCCGAAATCCTCAACCCCAAACTAAACTCTGCACCGTAAGCGCTGCATCCTCCAGCCTAGCAACGAAACCAAAAACGTACATAAGGTCCTGCCAAAACCTGAAAAACCTGTTTACGACCCTTTTAAGTCTTGTCTTGAAATACGTATAACACACCCACCCGAAGCCTGCAATTCCTGAAGGGCTGCTCAAAGTCTTATGTCTGCAGACATGAACGGGTAAGCGGGCTTAGGATTTAGGGTTAAAGTCAAGGGGCTTGGGGTTGATGATGTTAATACAACAGTAGCATCACCACAGCAATGACAACTTAGCAACAACAGCAATGCCAGGCTCCTGTTACATGTGTGGAGGCATCGTGTCAAAACGTAGGCCTAACCCAAAAATCCGAAACCCCTAAACCCTAAATGCCAAACCCTTGGGCAGAAGACCTTTCTGCTTGTCGGAGCCCTCATCTACCAACTCCTGCACAAACGCAGGGTTTGGAGTCGCTGCCTGCCCTGTGCTTCTTCCTTTCACGCTGAAGTTTCTTGATCTATTTTCACAAAAGGCTGCTCGGGTTCGGCCCATCAACTCGATCCACTATGAGAATCGGGTTCTGGCCACTTCAGGGGCCCTTTTCTGCCCTCGTACTCTGCTCGCAGGACTCGAATCCCGAGCATTCTTCCAAAACCTCGAAATCGGTGGTTGTCAATATTAGGGTTCCTTTTTGGGTCCTGGGTCCTCAGGCACCTAATACCCTAAAACTTACCTTTGGTTAGTAGGGAATGGAAGAATGGTAGTAATAGTAGTTATAATTGTACCCATTCCTCCATTCCCTACTAACCAAAGGTAAGAAAAGGGACCATCATACTCACAACCACCCAGATCCTCAACCCTTGGAGCCCGAGGCTGATCGCCCTAATCGGGGGAGAGGCAGGTCCAAAACGGGGATCCATGCGTACCAAGAGAAGCCACAACTTCAGGAGAGTTCTTTTAGCATGTTTGGTGGCGGTGCCGCACTTGCAAGTTCATGTATGGTCATAAATGGAGTTATAAGTCCCCCAACATAGGGAACAAGTGCACTTATCCTACTCTTAACCCTGTTTATAACTACCCACGAACCTCCAAGTAGCTAAGTGGGGTCTACATAAAGCCTATACCGCCATTTTAAGGTCCTTGGATTGCGCGATTCAAGCTTCAGGGATTGTGCAAGAAAGGGCTCAAGGCTTCTCTTGCGGCGGTGAGGCAGGGGCATTGTTTCTGAGACCTGCTAGCTCGGCAAAAAAGGGTTCTAAGACTCTACTATGCCCAATTGAAACATAAAAAACAGTATGTTTAATATTCTCTTGGGTTTTATACGAACAAAAAACAATTCCTAAGGAGACTATGGTCTAAGGTGGGGGTAACCATGATCTGCCGTTCGAAATCAAGCTCTCCTCTCGGAGTTTTGCGGCTACGTTGTGTTATGGCATGCCCGGAGTAGAGCAGGCACGTGAAAGGGGCCCCACTCTTGGAACAACCCCTGCGAAGTTGCCGGGAGATTGCCATGCAAATGCTAATGTCGGGGTTAATGCTTTAAATAACCCCCCAGCTTTTAACCCACAGTAATCTCAAGTCCGTCGGGGTGAGAACCGTGTAAGGTAAGCTCAAATCCCAGGGTTAACGCAAGCTGCAAGCCCCACACCCAAGCACATTGCATCTTTCCCATGTCCTTCTTCGCATCTTGAAAGCCATTAATGTGGAGTTCGGCTCGGGTGCGCCTCATGACTTTGCATTCATGTTTCGAGCTTCTGTTCACACTTCCGAAGGAATGCGGGGATGTCTCACGAAGTGAACGGCAGCTACGAAAGAGCTTGCCATGTCACGGCATGGAGAATTGCCGGGTCGCGTGCACTACGAAGTGCGGATCTATCGAATATGTGGGTAGTTCGCTGAGTCAGGTTCCCTTTCGGGTCCCCAAAACCGTATGGCACCCGAAAAAAAAAGGACCCTCAACGGGCCGCGGACTAAGAGAACTACCGACATGACTGCTCCATCTTTCTTCCGCAGGTTTAGTCGCTACATGCGGCTCTCTTCATCCCAAGCGTGAACCCCCCCACTCTTGACCTCCCAGAGAGGAAAGAAACATCTGAAACCCTGAATCTTGACCCTCAGATGTTGGCGCCCTGCCCGGGCCCTCAGCGAGGACCTGAAGGATTAGCATCGGGTTTTGGGGTGTACGGTGTACTATACGAAGGATTCTAGAAAGGGTACCGCTACGAATTATTCAGAACCTTATGTTGCCCACCCTACCACCCGAAGGTCGGGCCCCCAGCAGCATATGAAGAGGTTCGATTAGCGGATCATCCACCTGCAGGCGCGCCGGCGTGCCCAGGTCGCTTGAAAGCTCCATCTCCATTTGCCTATTTCCCGGCTCTATAGGGATTCTACAAGGTTTCATCAAGTGAGGTTTTATCAGCCTATAGACCTTCCAGCTTTCATCCTGCAAATCGGTTGCTTCGAAAAGCCTGTGTATCAACCATGTTGAAAACGCAAAAGCTTTCTTTCAGAACGGATGCACAAGACTAAGCAGACTGCTCCTGCTTGGACTCTCTGCTAACCTTGCCCTGTGCTGTCAGCATTTTCGCCAAACTATCTCCTGAAACTCACACACGACAGCTGGAACCCCAAACCGTTCGGCCTCTACTGTTGGAAAACGGCACAGCTCATGATCATGCCAATATCATCGATACCGAAGCGGCAAGATTCTGTTAGGTGTCCACAGATGGAGGACTCTGCCAAGGACCCCGTAAGGTGTACAGATTTTAATAGCAATATGAAAATTAATGGCAATATGAATATTAATAGCCGTAGTACTAGTAGGGTTTTAGAGCTCAAGACCCAAGTTTCATAGTCTTGTCTATGGTGGTAAAGAATCCCTCAGAGGTTCGTCATGATGGTGGCGAAGAAAGGAACCAATGGGTGGTTGTCAAAATTGTGGTCCCTTTTGAGGTCCTTATTAGAATACGGCACCTAGTATTTAGGGCCAAAAAGGGACCATAGTTTTGACAACCACCCCAATATGGCATAAACTGTAGACTCGAGACCTCGAACGCCAGAACACGAACCATTCACAAATCTCGATAAGAGCGCAACCGAAAGCTGCATCCCACATTCGGTGATCCCCCTGCAGTCCACACCTCAACAGGCGAACGTTGTCACAGCGAGTGGTACGAAGAAATTTCGGATCGACGGAATCTAGTACTAAAGAGGAAGGTCCTCGCGCCTGGGAGAGGCGGTGGGGCCCTGGTAGTTGAACGTGAGATCGCTGAATTTGAACCGCGAGTGCACGCGGACGGCAGCGGTGGCTAAAGCTTTGCTGTGCGATGTGCGGGTCTGTATGAAGGGATGTTCATTACCCTAAGGCCCCAAAGTAGTTCTTTTCAGGGTTCATATGTAGAACCCTATAAGGTATTCCAAAAAGGGAACTACTTTGGGGCCTATGGGTATGCACCATAGCAAAAGAGCATCTAAAATGATGAGCGCGTCATGAAACGTGAACCTCTGTAATCAATGCCTCTGTCGGAGCAAGAACTTGTTCATCCAAGAGTGTGAGGTTGAGGATCGGTACAAGCTTCATGTTGAGCTTAGCCACGGCAACCTTGACATTCCAATGTACAGTTGACGTTATATTTCTCTTGCGAGGATATGTTGGCTCCTACCCTAAAACATGCATTGTTGCTTGTCGGAGAGGGGTTTTGAGCATATTTTGGTGTTGGCATGTCTGTTGGCCAGGCGTGCATGGACGTCATACACTGGCGGGCTTGTCGCCCTCCACGCAATGCTTTTCGCTCGCGACGCGGTCGCAGCTGCCCAGCCATCAGTCGCCTGCCAGGCATCGGAACAAAACTCAGGATTCTCTCATTGACTCTGGACGGATACTGGCTGCACGACCACACGGCGCTTGACACAAGGCACGGTGAGCAAGAGCCGTCCGCAGCGGCCTTTTGAACGACTTTAGATGCCAATCTGTGCCCGCAGCCTTGCACTCCGTGCAAAGGCTGCTAAGGCCAGTCCGGTGTCATTTGGGCTTGACCCAAGCGACTAATCCGCTCTGCGCTTGCGACCCTGCACTCCACGCCAGGACTCGCTAAGCTGCAGGTCGGTCAACAAGACCTCGTCCTTCGACAGAACTGACTATACACCTGCGAGCAGTCTGCCCAGATAGACCGTAGTAGTCACGCGAGTGACTTGAGTTGAGAAAGCTCTACATTAGCACGGCACTCGTTGCCACAAGGAGAACCTCGTCAGGCTTCTACACCGCTACTTTTTTCGGTGGGAGCGGCCTTGGTTTCTTCAGCGGCCTTGATCTCTGAAGTCTTTTCCTCTGCAGGGCCATCGAACATGCCACCGTGCTCCGCCCAGTAGTAGCAAGGGCTGAGCAATGCCCAGACCATTACGTAGCCAGCGTGCACTTGGAAAGGGAGCAAGGGATCATCGATCGGCCGGTAGAAGCAGAAGCCTGCAATGACAGCTCCCAGATTCCCTCCGGCCCCAACAAGGGTAGACACGACTGCTAGCTGCTGCCGGTTCATGAAAGGCACGATGCCGTAGCATCCACCAAGCCGACGCAAAAGAGGAAGATTGCCTCAAAGAAGAGGGACAAGAATTGCGCCCAGATGCGGCCGCGGAATCCCATGTACTTGAAGAGGATGTCGCTTGTGATTCCACCCAAGGACCTTGCAGCGAGATTCACAATGGAGTCGCTGTACAAACAAACCCATTGAAGTGATTAGCCGATACCGGCCTGGCAAAGAGATTCATAAGGCCAAATGCTCCTGCTAGGGCAGAGGCATCTGCTGCATCCATCTGGAAGTAGGTCCTGAAGTGCGTGGCCAACTGGGTGTTCATCGCCAGCTCCGTGCCGAAACAAGCCGAGTACCTGTCTGGCAACAGATGACGAAACCAGCACAGGCAAAAAACATCATCCGTGTAGAAAGCGTGGACTGGTTGCGGTTTGGCCAGCAGTGCGGCATGGTCAAACTGTTTACTCTCTTGCGAAGCGCTTGGCTAAAGCAATGCCTGTTTGCAGCTTGGCTGCTGCATGATCATGACAAGTACCCTGAAGTCCGAGCACACTTCAACGTAGTCCCACATGGATGGCTTCTTATAATCTTGCCCGTCACGGACACGTCGAATCTCTTTGCGGTGGGGGTGTCCCAGCACAGCAGCTTCAAGCACGCCGCCATGATGATAAAGAGAACGGCAGGCACGATCATGGCCACTCGCCAGGCTGTGTCAGCTGCCATTCCCGAGCTCACCATGGGGTTGAACAGGACGGAGATCATGAGTGATAAGAGTGATGAGGGGGACGCCCTCACACGACATCCTAAGCACCGTCAGTCGATCCCGCAGCGCGGTCTCGACCCCAAGCCTGCAGCATTAGCCGCGTGAGGGGCGCCCTCACTCGGCATCCGAATCACAGTCAGTCGATCCCGTAGCGCGGTCCCGACCCCACGCCTGAAGCACATCCACGAAGTAGCCCTGCAAGGCACGCACCTGAGCTGAGCTGCAGCCTGCGCCATCCTCAGGCACAACACCGCACTGGCGAAGACACTTGGGCAACGCACCAGGAAGGTCCTCGGCACGTATGCGCGCACCGGGCGCAGCGCCGGCGGTCCACTCACATCTCAGCTGCGCCAGTCGAGCGCGATTCGCTGGGCAGCCCCAGAGCAGATGCAGCAAATGCTCATCTTCAAGTCCACAACGCCGGCAGAGCGCTGTCGGGGCAAGCTTAGCCTGGTGCAAACGATAGCGGTTCCACAAGGCGTCAGCGAGGAACCGTGCATATCTGGCACCACGGAGGCTGCCATCCCATCCGAAGTCTTGGCGACCCGCCCGCATCGCGAGCAACGGCTGCAGAGAAGAGTCACGATCAACCCCGCTCCCGATGCCCTCATGCGCCGGCCGACTGCCATCCCACATGCGCCACCACCACTGCCGAAGGCCATGCCGAAGAACATGGCGTGCCTGCTCTCCGCGTGCCCCAGGGCACGTGAGCCTGTCCAGCTGGATGACCTGAGCCTCGCCTGTTCGAAGTGCAGCCGCTCGGGGCCAACTCCAGGAAAGAGCCGCGAGAGCCCTATGCAAATTGCCAGCAAAACCCAAAAACTTATGCCCGCCCTGAAAAGCACGCCAAAGTCGCTGAACCAAGGCAGGAGCCCACTGAAAGAGGCGGCCTAAGCTTATCACGATGCCATAGAACTGCACAGCAGACGGGGCGAGTCGGTGAAGAGGGCCTAGCAATCCCAGTGTGTAAGCAACACTGCGCATCCAGTTCTTGACATGCAGGGTCGGACCCCACCATGCCTGGCAAACAGCGGTGGAGAGGCTGTCAGTAGCTCTTTTGCTGAGGGCGCTGCCTTCCGAGTACAGGCCTTGCAGAAAGGCAGGCAGCAGTCCCCGTCGAGTGTCGTGCTCCGGGAGAGCGCGGGCTCGCAGAATCTTGGCTTTCACAGCAGCGGCTCTGCTGTCACCTAACTCAAAGTTTGCAACCAAAGTGGTCTGGAGCGCAACACCTAGGTACTTAATGACAGTGCACTCTGGCAGGGCCAACCAGCGGGCCGCTTCGTGGCATCTGGGGTTTCCTATCTGAAAGCGCACCGACTTGCGAGGGTGAATCTCCATGCCAAAAAGATGGTCAAAAGTCTGCGTGCGCTCGAGGGCCTGAGCAATGCGGGCTGGGCTCGAGTCCAGAAGGCACCGGTCCTCCAGATAGACTCGGACCAGATCCATCGCCGGCAGATGCTGCAGCCAGGCTCCCATCACTAAATTGAGAGCCCAAGGCGCAATCGCATCTCCTTGAGGCAAGCCGCGCTGGCGCTGAAGGCGGACCGAGCAGCCCGTTGGGCCTTCCCCTGTCCAAATGTGTCTCTCCAGTCCCTGCCACAACTGCAAAACTTCGAAGAAGCACCGTGGAGCTCCACACGCTTGTAGAAGCACGCGCAGGCTGAGGAGCGAGACCGAGTCGAAACAGCGTATTGTATCTAAACACGCTCCTGCACACGGCGAGCCTTCAGCGCGCGCGCATGCCAACTGCGCGGAGACAAAGTTTCCAGTCACCGCTGCCGGCGGCACTCCCTGGCGGCCGCCCACGAGTTCGGCGGGGAAGAACGTGTCTCCCCACGTGGCTAAATGACGTGCCATTCGTGAGGACCAGATTCTGTACACGACCATCAAGATGGTGATAGGCCGCGTGCCACCCGCCTGTTTAGGGAGGCAAATCAGCCGAGCCTGCTGCCAGGAAACTGGGAACGACAAGCCAGCGTCCATAGCATCGTAGAGCTCGCAAAGCATGGACAAGTGCAAGTCTGGCAGGTTAGCGAACTGCTTGAAGCTCAGGCCATCAATCCCTGCAGCGGTGTTGCGACATTCACTGCGGATGTCCCGGACGCTCCACTGCGAGGGCCTCGGAAACGGAGGCACATGGCGCCCTAAAGCATCGCAGACCTCTTGAAGCTCACGCCGATGTCTCTGGAATCTGGCCTCAGGGATCGGACGGAGATCATGAAGATCTGCGTGACACCTCCGCCCAGATTTCCCCATCCGGCGGCTGTAGCGTTCGCAGTTCCAATCACATTGGGCGCGAACATCATGAACACCAGAACTGGTTGGTCACGAAAGTGGCTCCTTCACAGGGGGCATCGGGGGGCTAAGTAATGTCAATGGGACGCTGCAACGCAGAAAAGAGAAAAATGGGTCCTGCGCAACCGATGAAGAAGCGAATGAGCGCATAATTCCAGGGAGCGGAAATGGCCGCTGCCATAGCCACCCAGAACGCTCCGAAAGTCAGCAGGCTGGCTTGCACGTTCACTGGGCCGAAGCGCTCGAGGAGGGTGCCGAGAGCGATACGAACGAAGATGGTGGAAGCGACAGCAGCGACGCCTGCATTGGCGATCATGCCTGCGCACACATTTGGCCAGGACTGAAGGCGCATATGGGCTCTTCTCTTCAGCAGTCGCAGTGGCACTGCTCATGACAGCAGCTGGAACTGCTGCACAGTCCGTGATGACATCACCATCCTTGACCTTGCCATACTGGCAGTACTCCAGACCTGTCTTCAGGCTTTTGTACTTCAGATAGGCCGGCCGCAATGGATTCTCGGCGGGGGGGAACTTCTGGTTCTCACACATATTGATGCTGGTGGCCACCTCCAGCCCCAACGGGGCAAGGGCAAACCAACCCAAGAAGGCAAGGAAGAAGGAGAAGACACTTCCCCTGAACGCTCGCATGTGAGGATTCTGCTGAACAGTGCCGCAAACACGGAGCAGGGGCAACTCCGTTGCCTTGTTGGATTCATCCACCTTCAACTTGAAGTCCGCCATGCTTACGAGTTCCTGCAAGGACTTCTACCTGATCAGCCTGCACGTGCTGCAAAGCCGTCATGTCATAGACTGTCATGAGGACATACAGGCATCTACAATACTGCGCATCCGCAGTGGGCGTATGAACGAATAGATGCCAATCTGTGCCCGCAACCTTTCATCTCCGTGCAAAGGCTGCTAAGGCCAATCCGATGTCAATTGGGCTTTCACCCAAGCGACTACTCCGCTCTGCACTTGCGACTTGCACTCCCTTTCAGGCAGCCCACCTCAAGGCCCTTCTCCTTGTTGATCGTCTCGAGCTTCTTGCTGATCTCGGCGTCGGGCATTTAGGGCATAGGATATCTTACTATTTGTACATGTTAAGATCTTCTTGTTTTGGGGTTTAGAAGCTGCACTCAGGACACGGTGTCTCGACGATTCAAATCCTGCACACGTTCGCAACACCAACCTGACACCCCATAGATGCAAACTTTGACGACCGAGAGTGTCAAGCCCATGCCTTCAAGCTTGAACGTCCACCCTCCTGCCCTTGCCGTTCTGTGGCTCGGCTTAACAAAGCTGCAAGGATGACGACTCTACTCCTAGCAGATGCACACTAACCATAATGACAACCAGATGACTGGCATTGGAGGTGAAGAACTTCGGGCAACACCCCTCGCTATTGCGCGGTAGTGATGGCATGCCTCATGCACAGACGCAGCATACATGCATCTTCCTAGACCCTCGGCCACAAAACACTGGCCAGGAAAGTAAAACCTGCGGAACCGAACAAGCGTTTCGGGTTCAGGGTATGGATGGCCGAAGCTAGACCCTCGTCTTCACAACTTTGATGACAATTAGAATGTTATTTGGGAGTTTCCGAAAATCAGGGGACCCTAATATAGTACCCTTAATAATAGGATCCTTATTATAAGGACCCCAAAATCAGGTACCCCTAATGTCGGAAACTCCCATTTAAGCACTCATACCTGAACCCTGCCAAGCCTGTTCTCTTGCAGCTTTCCTGCCTCAGGTCGAAACTTAGACGTTGTCTTGATGCTTTGGTAGCAGGGCTCGACCGAGCCGCAAGGACAAGAGATAGCAGCTGCTTGAGTTTAAGGCTCTTTTGTCTGACACTCGGTCAAAATTCAAATTTTCAAACAAGTCTCAAGCCTCTCCAAGCGTAAAGCAATCTCACTCAAAACGGTGTCGGGAGACCCCCAGGAGCGGCAGCTCCGTGGCCTTCTTCGTGGAATCCACTGCCAGCTCGTACTCCGTCATGGTTCTACAAAGCGGGATGACTATAATATAGGGGCCTTAACAATTAGAATAGGGTTTTGGGGCCCATTAAACTATCATAACAAGGAAGCCCCTCAAATAGTGTATTTAGGCCCCTATATCATCTCGATCTCTTTCCTGGAGGCTTTACTCGAGCACCAAAATCTCAGTGTTGACAAACGAATTCTTGACAAGGAGATGCATCTTCAACCTTGCCACGATGATTTCTGCCGCTGGTCCTGATTCCCCACTTGCAGATTCACAGATTTTTCCGTGTTGCTGATGGACCCAAGTCATGTGCTTGGCACTTTGTGCAGCAGATGCAGGCCCGATGCACCGCTTTAGCCACGCGGCGGGACTGTCTGAACTGGCCGGTGCATTGCACTCCATGCTAAAACACCGCCGGCCACACAAAACTGGCTCGAGTAATCGAATTATGAAGGTAAGAATGAGTTTCTGTTCAGCCTCGAGCGTCAGCAGAACTAGGCCAAAGCTCACATGCAGTTTTCACTGGTGGCCTCGGACTCTGTGTACGACTCGGACTCGCTGCTGTGGGTCTTGCCCTTCTCGAAGCTTTGTGCCGGTCCGCAGAACATCCCACCAGTCTCGGACCAGTAGTAGCAAGGGCTCAGTAGAGCCCAGAACATTACATAGCCCGCATGGACCTGGAAAGGCAGCAGGGCATCCTGGATCGGCTTGTAAAAGCAGAAGCCTGCAATCACTGCCCCGAGGTTTCCACCAGCTCCCACAAGAGCTGACACCACTGCGAGCTGCTTCCGGTTCCTAGTCCATGGTTGGGATTGCATTAATTATTGACATGCTTATTCAATCTATTCCTTCTTAGGTTGAAGTCCCCATAAGACTGTAAAGCGTTACCCAAATATGACAAAGGCTCATAAACGGCACGATGCCGTAGGAGGTGCCCTCAGCCATCTGCACAAAGAGCGAGAAGCACACCAAGACTGCCAAGGCCACGTACCAGGGCTGAGAATTGTCCACTTTTCCGAAGCTGAAGAGGAAGATAGCTTCGAAAAAAAGTGCCAGGAACTGAGCCCAAATGCGGCCGCGGAAGCCGAAGTACTTGTAGCAAATATCGCTGCTAATGCCACCAAGAGATCTTGCGAAAAGATTCATCAAGCCGAAAGCACCTGCCAGGGCGCTGGCATCACCTGCATCCATCTGGAAGTAGGTCCGAAAATGCGTAGCCAACTGATTGTTCATTGCGAGTTCTGTGCCGAAACATGCTGAATATTGGAAGATCATTACGACGACGCGAACGTCACGCAGCACCTCGACATAGTCCCACATTGAAGGCTTTTGTGTCTTGCCGGTCACGGTCGGATCGTATTTGCGAGCCGTGGGCATATCCCAACACATGAGCTTCATGCAAATGGCACAAATCACGAACATGACCGCCGGCACCACCATGGAGACACGCCAGGCGACATTTGGCTCCATCCCGGACGCCACCATGGGATTGAAAAGTACTGACATCATAAGTGATAAGAGTGATGAGGGGGACGCCCTCACACGACATCCTAAGCACCGTCAGTCGATCCCGCAGCGCGGTCTCGACCCCAAGCCTGCAGCATTGTACTGACATCATAAAGATCTGGGTCACGCCGCCTCCCAGGTTGCCCCAACCGGCCGCAGTGGCGTTGGCCGTGCCGACAACGTTGGGGGCAAACATGAGCGAGCACCAGAACTGATTGGTCACGAACGTGGCACCAGCACAGCCGATGAAGAAGCGGATGAGCGTGTAGTTCCATGGAGCCGAAATCGCTGCCGCCATTGCCACCCAAAAGGCGCCGAAGGACATTAAGCCGCACTGAACGTTCACTGGGCCGAAGCGCTCTAGCAGTGTCCCCAAAGCGATCCTCACGAAGATAGTCGAGGCAACCGAGGCTACGCCTGCATTGGCAATCACGGATTTGCACTCAGTGCCCGGGGTGCACACGCACTTTGTGAGCACCTGGGGCCTGTACTTCTCCTTCTGCTCAGCCGTTGAGTCGGCGCCGCCCGCCACATCTGCGGGGACGTCCTTGCAGTCGATCAGCTCACCATCCTCCTTGAGGACCCCATACTGGCAATAGCTCAGCCCACTCTTCAAGTTCTTGAACTTCAGGTAAGCTTTTCGCGTTGGGAAGTCCGCAGGAGGGAAGAGCTGGTTCTCACAAGTCCCCATACTGGTCGCAACCTCGAGGCCTAAAGGCGCCAAAGCGAACCAGCCAAGGAATGCAAGGAAGAAAGATATCGTGGAGGCCCAGAAGGCACGCATATGCGGATTTTGCTGCACAGTGCCACAGACCCTCAGGAGCGGCAGCTCCGTGGCCTTCTTCGTGGAATCCACTGCCAGCTTGTACTCCGTCATGGTTCTACAAAGCGGGATGGCTATCTCTGTCCTGGAGGCTTTAGTTAGCTCGAGCACCAAAATCTGTGTTGACAGAGGAAGGCTTGAGGTTATGAGACCCATAAGGACCCCTATGTATATACCCTTAATATAGCTACGATATACCATTATATAGCCCCATTATATGGTAGGGGTCCCAGGTATCAGGAGTTCGGTTTTTTGGAGACGTCGGGCCTCCGCCTGCCTTCCAGAACCTGAACAAACTAACGCCTATAAACACGAAGGTCTTTGCGACGCCTGAGCGGCCTAAAGATCATTTTGCATCAGTGCAAAAGAGCATCAAGAATGCTAAGTTCTTCATGAAACGTGAACCTGTGTTTACATCAATGCCCTTGTTCATCCAAGAGTTTGAGGCTGAGGATCGGTGCAAGCTTCATGTTGAGGATGCCTCCTGGCTTACCCAGGGCAACCGCTGCAACCTTGACATTCCAATGTGCAGTAGACGTTATACTTCTCTTGCGAGGACATGTTGGCTCCTCCCTGTGAGCACATTTTGGTGTTGGCATGTCTGTTGGCCAGGTGTGCATGGACGTCATACACTGGCGGGCTTGTCGCCCTCCACGCACTGCTTTTCGCTCGCGACGCGGTCGCAGCTCCCCAGCCATCAGTCGCCTGCCAGGCATCGGAACAAAGCTCACGATTCTCTCTTTGACTCTGGACGGATACTGGCTGCACGGCTGCACGACCACACGGCCCTTGAGAACCAAGTGAAGACCCTGCTCGAAACTAATTCCAGAGACACAGGACACGATGATCGAGAGCCACGATATCACCAAGCACGCCGCATGCCTGCAAGGCACTCTGCTTTCTCCTTCCATTCTAAACGATCATGAAACAGCGAGGTGCAAAGTGAGACTCCACAGTCGCAAGTCAGACTGCAGCTCACAGCAGGCTCCCTCGGCCGAAATGGTCGGGGAATAACCCAGACAGCCCAATACCCGTTAATAAAGGAACTTGGCTTAAATTATATAGGGCTTCATATTACGAGTTAAGCTATATTGGGCTCTCTGGCAAATCTACAGTGGTTCAAAGGCCACTGGACAATGACGCTTGTTCACCAGCGCTGCAACCATTGCTGATGGACAGGTCTCTGCAAAATGCTCGTGATGACTCTCCAAAAGGACCTTCTTGTGCATATTCTTGCGATTGGCACTACTACCTACTACCTAGTACATCCTACATCCTGCTTGATTCATGCTACATGCTGCAACTATTATTACTTTACTTTTACTAACAACAACAACAACAACAACAACAACAACAACAACAAGAACAAGAACAACAACAACAACAACTACTACTACTGCTACTACTGCTACTACTACTACTACTACTGCTACTGCTACTGCTACTGCTACTGCTACTGCTACTGCTACTGCTACTACTGCTAGTACAACTATTACTGCTACCACTCGACAACAACAACAACTACTACTACTACTACTACTACTACTACTACCTGTACTAGCACTAGAAGTACTACTATTACCACTACGACTACGACGACGACGACGACGACTACTACTACTACTACTACTACTACTACTACTACTACTACTAGTACTACTACTACCCCGGCTGCGGCTGGTGCTTCTACTATTACTGCTGCCAGTACTGCTCGTAACTATTGCTAGTGCGGACTTCTGTAGTGCGTTGTCAGGCCACGATGGTACGTGGAGTCGGCACGAAAGGGGCTGCCCGATCTGCATTCTTGACCAGCCTGAGCTGCAAGACTGTTGTGTCTGAAAGCTTGGGGTTTGGGGTTTGATTCAACGGTGTAGGGGTTTAGGGCCGTAGAGTTTTGGGTTAAAGATACAGGGATTTAGTGCCGCTGAAACCCTGTAACACGAGGGTCTGCAACGACGGCGGTCATTTGTGTCAGTGTGCTGCTTAACATGACTGGCGACTGTGCAGCTGGCACTGGAATGTCGACAAATAAACGGTTAACAAAACTCCTATATGCATAATAGGCATATGCATGTAACATACGGTCGTGTTACATGTTACTGTACACATACATACATACGTACATACTTACATGTGTACATGTATTCACATGTGTATGCACAGAGATCTCGCTCTCTCCCTCTCTCTCTCTGCATTGCGCTCTTTGCCCTTCTTGCGTTCGACGTCTCTTATGTGTGGGCAACACCTGTAGCTCTATATGAAGACATGCACGTGCATGCATGCATAAGTACGTACATACATGTACATATGCATACATACATACTATCAAACTTGGATACATACATCCACACATCCACACATACATCCATCCATCCATCCATCCATGCATACATGCATGCATACATACATACATACATACACGCACACATACATCTTTACAAATGTATGTACATATATACATATACATGTATAAATACATCTGTATATATATACACATACATAGAGGTTGATGTGTGCATATAGATATAGACTTACATGCACATTCTTACACACAAACACACACAAACAAACACACACACACACACACCCGCACACACACACACACACACACACACACACACACACACACACACACACACACACACACACACACACACACACACTTGAGTGGGCACTGCGGATGCCCGCGCAGGTTGCAATACGTTAGCGTGTATAAACATCCACCTCATGCAGGCAGTGTATGCTTCTTGGTTGTCGGGTGTGCTTCTCTCTAGTCTTTGCTTTTTGCTCAGTGCTTGTAGCATGCCAGTTGGTTGCCGTTGTGACTGTGAAGGGCGCGCAGAGGTGTCCTGTCCATTTGGGGGGCTGTCGGCACCTTAACAAAGTTAAGTTAGTTCCGTACTTTAGTGTGTATAGCAAATTTACTGCAATGTTTCTCTGCACAATTGCGTAAACACAGCATGTGCATAAACTTTGTCTGTATACAATTATCTATGTGTTACTATGCTTGCCATACTACGAAAAAGCCTTCTGGGCCATCACGTCCTCCGTATCACTGTCATTTGATGCCCGCCATGACGAATCTAGTCCGTTGCAGAAGTGCCTTTCCGCCCATATAGACAATGCCTGCCCGAAAAAGACAAAAAACAAATTTCTATAGTGTTGCTTCAACACTTCTAACGGCTTTGCACACTGGTATCCCTGTAATCTTGCAGCTCGATGCACAAAACCAGAGCCACGCCGTTGCTCCAACCAAATCCTGGACACAACTTCGGTAATACAGGGGTCTTAGCAATTCGGATGCGGCTTTGAGAGTAGAGTCTCACTGTAATTATGAGGAACCCTAGGACCCTGGGAATCAGAAGCTACTGATTCAGGCTTCGACATTATTGACTTCCTGCCGATCTTCCTTGGGTGTCGGACGGTCTGCGGTTGAAGTCCGCGCGAATTAGCTGTAGACCCGATGCTGCTCAGCGAGCGCTGCGCATCTTTATATAAATACATATATAGCTATATACACATATATACCTGTATGTACATACATATATATATATATATATACATCTATACACATATACACATACATATATATATATATATATATATATATACATATACACATACACATACATACACATTCTTGCAAATAAGTATGCATACATATGTATGCGTATACATTTATACATATGTGTATGGATATGTGTATATATGTAAACTGTGTATATGTAGCCCCAAAATATCAAGATAAGGATGAAGATTAACATAAAGAGGACTACCAACACAAACATCAATATTCACAGGGTTGATAAGAGGCCCCTGTGGAGGGGACTTCTGTAGGCTGCACTTTGGTTGCCGCCCAATGTGGGCAAATCAATGCGGCGCAACACATCCATTCTGCAACGTGCAACCCACAGGGGTCCCCCTCCACAGGGCCCCCTGTCAACCCCTTTAAATATCACTCTTAATAATACGTCAAATGCAAGGATAGTATGTGAACATGTATATAAACAACGTAGAAGCACCAGTACAAATAGAAGCACTTCTTGCCCTGACTTTCAATACGGACCGAGCTGCCACCGGTGCCACCACTGATGCCCAAAACGCTGGAGTAAACTGGATCTAGAGATTTTGTTGTAGCAAGGATACCGGCGTCCACGGTTTCAGCAGAGGCAAATGTTCCCGAAAAGGCCTCGTGGTTGGTGATCCCAGGTGGCTCGGCTTTTTTGACATGTGGGAAGCTGCAGGAAGTCGGCACATTCATCAAACCTACCATCGCTACGTCCAATAGGGGGGCCTTCATGATTGGAATAGGGTTTTGCGGCCTATACTACAACTATAACCAGCCCCCCCCCCCCCCCCCACCCCACAAAATAGCATTGGTAATTCTTAAGGCCCCTATATTACCATTGCTACGACTACTCTGGCCATGGCGACATGCAATATCCGATCTTGTCCACTATTGTCGCGCCGTCAACACTATATTACCTTGAGCTGTATAGAATGGACAACAGACATGTCCGCCCTGAAGCATTGCCGAGCTGTCCGAAGACTGCTGGCTAACTTTCATTGCAAGGCTGCAAGAACATGCAATAGTCGCATTAGCACACAGTGGCAGTCCTGTCTGCGGATGATACTCACCCCCTCCGCCGCCCTCGCCAGGGTGAAAAGCGTCGTACCTTCACGCTGCCGACCAGATTCAAAAGTCTACTAGATGTATTGACGTTAGCGACTCGACACGGACACGATCGCAAGTAAGGGTCATGACGGATGAAGCAAGAACAGGACATACGGATCTGCTTGATAACAGAAGGAGTCTGGCGCCTGAACGCTAAACCCCAAAGCCTAAGAAGGGCACTTCTCAAACATCGCTCCGTGCTTGTGCCAGGCCTGGCGGGGTGCTGCGGCGGTTGTCTGTCTGGTTCTTAGTAGGGAATGGGGGAACGGATATTGGGGGACTATTATTGGGGATTATAAAGGGGCTACTCTAGGGATCCATTCCCCCATTCCTTACCCCACTTGTCGGGTATCATGGGGAACTAAAGGTTAACCTTTCTGGTTATATAGGGATTATGTAGAGACTATACACCCAAAAAAGGTTAAAGGTTGCCTACTCTACTACTAGGTTACTAAGCACCAGACAATTGTTGGAATCAGGCGCAGCAGCTTTAGGTTCCTCGGATGTGGGGTGTGGTTTGCATGTTGCAGGTCAAGCCTGATTAATATAGGGACCTGAATGATTAGAATAGGGTTTTGGGGCCCATTATTATACCGCAAATATATTAATAAGGAAGCCCCAAAATAATGTAGGTAATTATTAAGGCCCCTATATTAGCTAGGTCCTAGGTTGGTTAGGTTGAAGTCGCGAAGCTACAGGTCGTGCTCCAGCGGGACTGTTTCCGGAAATTGCAAGGTCGTACACAGCAAACATTCTCAGAGGAACAAGCATGCATCCTACAGCTCCCTGCGCGAACTGCATGCCAGCACTGAATTCCGAACTCAACGGATGGAAGCGATGGATGCTCACGTTGGAACGAGAGCTTCGAACATGCTGGAAAATTGGAACATCTTGCTCGTCATGCGCCTAAAGACAATGGAACCCTAGCATTGCTCGTCATAAATTCATGTTCCAGCTGTCAGCGGTTCATTGTCGTATTTGTACGCCATAACATGTATATTATAAATATACATACACATATATATATATA